TACCAGCAACAGTGTGTGAAAACCTTGTGAAGACTTACAGAAAACGTTTGACCTCTGTCATTGCCAACAAAGGGTATACAACAAAGTGTTGAGATGAACTTTTGTTATTGACCAAATACTTATTTTCCACCATAATTTGCAAATAAATTCTTAAAAAATCTGACAATGTGATTTTCTGGATTTTTTTTCTCATTTTGCCTCTCATAGTTGAGGGTATACCTAGGATGAAAATTACAGGCCTCTCATCTTTTAAAGTGGGAGAACTTGCACAATTGGTGGCTGACTAAATACTTTTTTCCCCCACTGTAAATGCATAAAGCATACGTTTTACAATAACAAAAACTAGCTATTAAAGAGCTTAGAGCATAAGGGAGTGCAATTGTAGAAAAAATGATGGAACGAAATAGCTTAAAATTAAAGAGGTAAAATACCAGCAAAGAAAGGCTTTTACTGTGAAGGAGAGACACGTCACGGGCACTAAAGTTGGACAGCAGCAAGCACATTATTTATTTTCAATGAATTGTTGATTTTGTCTTTCGGTTTACTATTAAATAGTCACATTTCAGAGGATGCCACTTGAATATAGAGCTTTTTTCTCTTTGACGTCATATTAAACTAAATATCTTTCGGCTTTGAACTGACAATACAACTGCAGATATACAACAGAAAGTAATTGATAGGCCCTTTTTGTAATTTGTTTGAATGAGGCACTCCAATTGCACATTAACATGGGTGATGTTAAAAGCACTAGTGCAAAGTGAGCCTATCCCTTAATATCAAATTGACAAAGCACCATTACTTCAATGGATCACCCACTGAGACGTTGTCTTCCAACAGTGTGTGCAGGCCTCCCAGTGCTCTACGTTGTGGTCACACTTTCTGTTGTGAGTTTAATGAACATATAACAGCACAACCTGCTTTTCCTGAATGTGCAACAACAAAAAGCCTCTGTGACTCTGAATCTACGCAGTGTTCCTTTGCACAATGTCGCAATATCATATTGATATATTCTGTCAAATGTATGTGATTCTAGAAAAGTATTAATAAAGATAAATCAATGTTTTACCATTACATCAATTTCAGATCAGAAATCCTTTATCTGTCCCGCAACGGAAAATGTACATGACTACAACAGCAGATAGTGCAGATAAGTGAGGGGGGGAAATTGCTAAGTATGAACAAAAACAAAATAGCAGATTTATATATATATCAAATATGTTTTCTATTAAAAATGAATCACAGTTGACTATAAATTATTTGTTGCCGTACACCATTTTAAAAATATATATGCCATTTACTGTTTTAAAAAAAAAAATCACTTCCTCTATTTGGCGTATATATAAGTAAATATAAATAGTGAAGGAAGTTTATCAAATCTTTGCATTGCTATTTTATGCATTTACATCACATACTACTAAAAAACGTCTTGGCTGTTTTTGACAATACCTGTCTATAACAGTCTGACAGCCTTTCAGTTGCTTCATATCTAAAGGCTCAAAACCTCGTTGCGATATCTGCTGATGCAAGTATGGGCCAAGCCAAGCAGCAGCAAGACATATTTATTTTGGCACCAAACCTTTAATCTTTCCCTTTACCAGATACAACTGAGAGACTTTGAAACCAGAAAAAGTAAAGAAAGGCTTTTGTTTCAGATTCAAATATTCTTTTTACCCATCGACACCTGGTCACTGCTGATGATTAGAGCCTGTCCATGATATCATTCAAAACTGTGCTGCCATTATTAGTTTATCTGTTATTACCATTTATAAGTAGTGTTTG